CTTTTGCTTTACCTATTAAACTGCCTTTATCTCAACCCATGAGTTTTCTCACTTTTACTCTTCTGATTCTCTCCCCCATCCCACCAGTGGGGAAGTGAGCGAGTGGCTGTGTGGTGCATAGTTGCTGGCTGGGGTTAAACCACGACAACCCTCTATACATCTTTGTTTTTCTGTCTTCCTGTGTGCCTTTTGCTGCAACTTACCTCTGAGAACACATGACTTAGAGAACATCTTATAATTCATATGCTTATTCTCAACTTCTCAGGGAGTATGGACCTGTCCTGCAGCAGCAGAGAGTTACTCTTTCACCAGCATCCACTAAGATATTTTCAGCTTACCATTAGAAATGTTCTTGCCTAGTTTTCTGCCATTTTGGGAGGAAGAAAGGAACAGGTGAAACATCCTTCAGGCTTCAGCAGATGGTCGACAATGGCTCCCAACTGCATACCAGATCAGGGGGAGTCACACAGTTCAGCCTGTGTGATATACATACACACATGCATGGAGAAAAAAGACTGTCAAAGACAAATAAACTCATAGAATAGTAGAACTTCTGAAGAATCAGCTGGAACATATTACCTCATGAACCTTTCTTTAGAAACAGGCAGTTTTTGTACCACTGCAAAGCCACCCCTGGTAAACCTTCTTTGAAAACATTTAGTATACTTCCAGCTGCATGTGTGTTGTCAGATATTGCTGTTCGTCTGCTTCATTCTACTTTAGTGGCCCTTAACCTCTGCAAGTCTGCTTGTCAGGTGTGCCCACACTTCTAGCTGAAGAGCATGAGGACCTTACAGGCAGCGTATTCTGAGAGGAAGGGCTTGTTCTCTGCCCTGGACACAGAAAATCTCTGCTGCTATAGCATCACCATGCAATGGACAAGATAACTCACCCCATGACATCTATCTCCCTGGACATCACTGAATAGTGTTTGGCAAGGGGTTGAATTGTGCTGGAGCTTGTGCTGGAGCCAGCTTGGTAACTTAATTTTATGCAGTTGAAGATGTCACTTGGGACTCCCAGCTGGAATCAAAGGCCTGGGAAGACTCTCCTAGCCCCACATGACTGTTTTAACCTGTTCTGCAATCCCACACATGCACAGATAGGATGAACGACACTACATAGTCTCTACCCAGAAGGACTGTGGTAATAATATTTTAAAACTAGTTTTAAAAATACCTCTGATATTATATCTTTCAGTTTTTCCAGGTGGGGTTTGTTTTGTTGGTGCTATAACTAGGCTTATCAGTTAAGAGCTTTTATGGTATTAATAAATCCATTTATTAGCAGAGATGAATGGAATATTTAGGCAATGCAGTTTTCATTTTATCCCAGTTTTAAAAGATGATGGTACTGACTGAATATAGAAAATGTTCATAAAATTTGACAGGGATGAAACTAAAAGGGTTCCCTAAACTAAACAGGAGAGCTATAGGAGTTCTTGTAAACAGAGGGAAATACATCCTCTCCAGAATCTTTGACTGTTTTTTAAAAAGTCAGCCCTATTGAATTCTGTAACAAGAACAGAATTTCCTATTAAATGCTTGCAGAAAAAATCTTTAGGGCTTTCTTAAGTTAGACAAAACACAGAAAAGGAAAAGATTTTTCAGCTGTGCTGTGCATATAAAATTCCCACCGACACTGACCGTAATAAGGGCACAAGCACACTGGTGAAATGAGCCCATTGAAAGGGCTAGCCCAAGCTTTCAGTCAGGTGATAGTTACTGAACCTAGTGGATGTGACTCTTGTTTCTACTCTACCAATAGAAAACACTCATTTGTGTCTCAGGGATCTGCATTACATTCAAAAAGGCAGAGGCAGAGGCCTTTAGTGTAGCTTCCAGATGCTTTAACAAGCTGCTGGCATTTTGATTTCAGTAAAGCCTTGCCTTTGCTGTGCTCTAGCAGTAGCAAAATAACCGTGCATAGTTTCGACGCTTTTAAGAGACATTCATGTGTTCTTAAATAGTTTGCTGCAATGTTTCAAAAAGGACACCAGAGGGCAAAAATTATTAACTCCTCCTCAGAGCCAGGCCAGTGGGAGAGGGGATGCAGAGCCCTGCATGCCCCTTGCCCAGGTGTGAGCCGTGTTATGGGTGAGGCTGACAGGGCGGTGGGGTTGCTTTGCATGGACGGGCCTCACCCGACCTGGTGCTTTGGCTCCTTCTGCACCATTGCACTGGAGGCTGATCCTCCTCCTCCTGACTAAACTCAAACCAGATGGTACCTCCCAAAGTGAACAAATGCTTCTTTCTTTATTTAGCGCAAGGGTAATCCATACAAAATGTTAAAATTGCAAAATACAAAAAGTGGCATGATAAATGTAGTTCTATGGCAAAGGAATCACATGACTATGAAAAGGCTTGTTAGATACATCTTGATAAACAATCAGGCAGCTTTAAATAGCCTTACCAGGAAAAAAGCGAGAAGGAGTACATTTTCCCTTTGTAGTTTTGTCAAGTGTAGCAATCACAGACTGTACTATTTTTACTAACCTCACTAAGTATTTAACATACCTTTTTTTCCCAATGTTTTCTTTTTTTCTCCAAGGCAGCTGTGAACAGACAGCATAGCTGCTCACACTTTTGGGTAGTCTGCAAAAAAAATGTTGGAGAGGCTTTTGGATATATTCTCCCATTGTCTTCTGCATTGCAGTGCAACATGTGGGTAGGATTTCCTGTGCCAAAAGAACTGAGGGGACTCTTCTGTGCTATTATTATTACCAAGAATGACTGATTCTGTTGTAGCAATGGAAAATGTAAAATAGCAGCCATGATGGGTCTAAATTTTCAATCTCATACTGGAGGGTACATGCGAAGAAAAATTGTGGCTGCATCTGATTATCTTATGTAGCATTAGATGACAGAAAATGCAGTGCTTTATAAATCCAAAGTACACAAAACAGGGATTTTCTAGGGGTGAAACCAGTTTCCTCCAAGTCAGACTTGTACCCTTGGCGGCTGGTGGCTGTCACCCCATAGATGGAGCCTGCCATTTGTACAGCCCGTTCAGCCAAGAGCTGAGAAAGAACATCATAGATGTTGTTTCATCTCCAGATGTTCTGTGTGACAAGTCCTCGCCACAGCTCAAATGAAGCCCTTTGAGGCCAAAGCATGACAATCTAAAGGAACACTGCCAAATGTATGAAAACGTTCAATGATGTATTTTACACAAATTTGAACATCTGTGGTGCTCAAGGAAGATTTCATGGAGCTCTGTAAATATTGTTACATGTAATTAGCTTCACAGCATGGGTGCATTATTATCCCCAGTTTATGGCTAGGGAGATTGGCACAGAAAAGATAAGCAATTAGCCTTTGGGAAACAAAAATATTTTATGCCCCAGAGGGAAGCAGAACCCAAGCAAGTCAAGCAGTAAACCTGTCCATCTCTTATTTTCCATAACACCATTTTGTGGAACTACTGTTTCTAATTTGGAGGAGATGGCAAACAACAATTCATGGTTACAAAGTAGTGTTGTGCTTTATAGCAATAAAATGAGAAGGGAAATACATTTCTTATCAGATCTCCTTCTCACAGGTATATATTAGCAATTGCCAATTCCAAGCATAGAAGGCTAAAATTAATGTAACTCATTATTTGGACTTCAAAAAGGAGGAGATTGTTTTAAAGGTTGTGTGCTTCCTTGTAAAAGGCTATTTCTCTCTTTTGACTTCTAGTTTCTGATTCTGTATGATACACTTAAAATATATTTTTAGCTTTTCTCCACAACCACTGGAATTAGAAGCATCGCTATTGTTGAGAATGAAAGCTGAAATCCCTTTAAGAAAGGAGCTGGGGGTTTCTGAAAAAGACGATTTCTATGAAGCTCTTCATAGCCACTGTAGCTCGGTATCATTTTTGCTTCCTTTGGTTAGCAGAATAAAGTTTTAAAACATCCATATCTCTTCATGAGCAACATGGAAAGAGAAAGTGAACAGGATCTTTCTGCTGCTCTCAGATCACATAGGTGTTAACACTTCCAGCTAGGATGTTCAGTGCAGGTCTCTGGGTTGTGGTCTGCTGACTGACCAGGCTGGAGACGTCTCCCATGTACATGGCAGTCCCCCCAGCCCTGGCAGACAACACACTGCTCAGGGGCAGTGAAGGCTGGAAGAAAAGTTTCCTGTGATATGGCTTGGGGACCCCATTCAGGAGGTCCAAGGCTTCCCAGTACCACCATTTTGATGTAGCTTACGTGACTTTAGCGCAGCAATTGGTGCTGCTCCATATTTAGAAGTTGTGCCTTATCACACCTGTGCAATCCTCACTGTTGCCTGGAGATGCATGGAGGCAACCAGACACTGAGCAGTGATGGTTAACACAAGAGCAGTGAGTGCCCTGCCAAACGTTTAGGAAAGGGAGTCCCAGGCTCAAGGGAATGCAGCTTGGCTTCCAGATCCTAGCCTGAGCTTTGAGGCTGTTAAAAAGAAACAGATTTTTAAAAGTATCTTATTAATAAAAAGGCCTTCAAATTTGTTTTGAAACTTTTGACACCTGAAACAGCGTCAAACATCTATGAACAGATATGTTGGTCTTCCTGCATGGGAAGGAGCAGTCTCATGGGTGTGTCGAGGTGGTTTATCAGTTGAAGGTGAAAGACGTGGCACACCTGTGTGCTTCACACAGTCGTGTTTGATTTTACCCTTGCCGCAAGGATGAACAGCGGTGGGGCAGAGTGGTGGGGATTTCTGTCTGAATCGAGATACATCTCCACACATGCATGGTAGGGGAATGGGAAGCTGGGGCAGGCGGTCCCACAGTCAGGGCTAGGAGGATCATGGCAGTGGTGGATGGGCTCCAGGGCCCCCCTGACACTCCAGAATAACCATGATGGGCCAACAGCCCCCCAGGTCCTTCTTAAGTCCCACCCCTGGCAAAAGGCACCGTCTCAAGCTGGCTGAGAGAAGGTGGTGGTTACAAACCCAGAACAGCTTTCTGGAGTCAGTGGTCAAAGACTGTAGGGCAAAAAAAATCCCTCCTGAAGGCCTGAGCCCTGTTTTGAATATGGGTTAGTGTGTGCTATGCTCACAGTGTTAGGGGTGTGAGCAAATGATCTGAGCACAGGTGAGATTTACAAACAATGTTTGGCAACAGGCAAGCATGGTTGCTCCTGTGAAGTTTGGGCAGGTAATGCAAGAGCAGCTACTAGGTTCACAATCCATTTGAAGGGACAATACCCAGTTTCTATATACTACTGTACTATCAAAAATTACTAATTAAGCAAGCTACCAGGTACACCAATTTTTTAGGGGGAGTTTTGTGGGAAGGAACTGTTTGTCATTCCAAAAGCTAACAGAATCAGAGGAAACGGCACCTAACCATTGCAGATAACATGATACACTGAGATTTTGTTTCTATGGAAGGGAAACCTTTAAAGGACCCTTCCAATCCAAACTATTCTACGAACTATTCTATGAAAGAGGCAGAGCTTGGTGAGGTAAATGCCTGCAGTCCCATTGGGAAAAGGCAGTGCCCTGCAGAGTGACTTTCCAGCGCTGGCAGAAAAAGATGCTTGCTGTGGGATCCCTGTGGCTATATGATTTTGCATACAGGCTACAGTTCTGCCTTACCCATCTTTAGGATACCAGCCAGCTGTTAATCCCAGGAAACGAAGGCAGCAAGCTGCGGGGGGCTCCTGACTTTGTTTGTGGTGGTTTTTGGAAGAAGAGTAGAGACACTGCTGGTTTTTGCCTGCTCTGGGCAGATTCCCGGCGGCTTGCATAGCATTGCGTGGCAGCACCACAGAGACTGCAGAAACAGGCAGAAGGGAAACTGCAAAAATGTACGCTCTGGGCTGGAGCAGTGCAAACATTAGTCTCACTGCACTAAGGGCTGTGGCTGCCTAGCAGCGCTTGTGCATTACAGAGATGCAAGACAGGAGACCAACTGGTTAGTGGTGTCCTGCTTTTTGTGAGGCTCCTTCTGACTTGCCAGTGTCTGACATATACAGTGGCAGCAAAGTCATCACCAAGCACACAGTGAATCCCACTGGAGCTATGACTTTTTAAACTACATGATAAACTGAATTAGAGATACTCCAAATACTTCATTTCATGTCATTAAAGATTGGATACTCCTTCAGGTGTGGCAGTCTTTGAAACATACTGGACATTATAAGCCCCGCAATCAGGGCTTTATAGGTAGCCATTGGGCAGGTTAGACCTCAGCAATGCTCTTTGAAAAGCCTCCCTATGCCAGGAACCCAAATGATGCTTTTATGTTCAGCTGTGACATGGGAACATCCCAACTGTGTGACAAAGCTGCTGGTGCCCCTGGTCCCCCTTAGCCCGGCACTGCCTCAACAGAGATGATCATACAAATGTTCACATTAAAGGGACTCCCCCACCCCCCATAGATTCAAAACACCATAAATACAGTGGTGTGACTACATTAACGATCTCGGCACTGTTATTTGGCATTGTGTAATAATGAGAAAATATTCAAAACCTGACAAGTCAAAAGCACAGGCTGTTCTTGCTTTAAGGGTATGAGCGCTAGGTGTCACTGCAGTCCAAGGGAAAGGCATCATCTCAAGAGCCCCAGCAACTGCCAGGGAAAAAGTAATTTTTGTTTATCGCATTCGAGAAAAAGTAGGTTTTGATGGTGGCAAAGAAATAAAAGAAAAAGACAACCATGTTATAAATACAGATGTAAGTATAAATATACAATATAATTTTTATGTGGATAGCATCTTTTATTCAGAAGGGAAACAGATAATTTGTACGGCAAATTGCAGACTATTCCAGGATCATTTTTATTAGCACACAGTGATAGAGCCCTCTTCTTGTTTCAGCGGAAGATTCCCATCTCAAAAAGATCTGCTGTACTGAAACTTCTCAACGCTACTTCCCTAATTAGCAGAAATTTTAGATAACTGATACATTCATTTCACACAATTTAAGACAAGTGGGGCACAAGAGATTAGGGAACACCAATATGTAAGCACAGAACATAGTAACACAGAAGCAAGCCTATGGGCAAACATCTATACATCTCCAACATCTCAAATTTCCTTGTTCATGCATCTTTCTTAAACTTTTTAATCTTTTCTCTCTATTCCTTTCCCTCTGCATCCTAAATATCCTTATCTCCTCTACTCTTCCAATCCAAATGTGTTCTGAAATAATTGCAGATGCGAGTTGGAAAAATGAGAGTGACAAATAAGAAATACAAATTTATACTCAGAGCCAATGCATCCTTGTATTTCTTCATGTCTGTATTTCATCATTTGCTGATTTGTAATGTAGAAGAGCAGCGTGAATGAGAAACAAAGTTCTGGCAATTTTTTTCTTCTTTTTTTTCTGTCTTTTAACAAATGATGGCTTCTGTCAAAATAATTCCCCATAAAACCTTACATAGCTCCCTTGTGAGTTCTTCCTATGCCAATTAAGTTCAAATGAAATGTAGTGGCTTTTTATTTACTTTTTTATTTATTAAATGTGTCCAGACAGCCTCTGGCTACCATTAGAAATTTGCAAATAAAACAGACGGCTTGTTGATCTGTGTCAACTCAGCTCGGAGTCCCCTCCAGGATAAACTAGACATGTTCACCACCACGTCCTCAGGCAAGGGCCTGAGCAAACAGATGAGCCATGCATCCTGCCCAAAAAAATCAACAGGCTGGGATACTGGCAGACCAATGGAGGAAATGAAATTCACAGGTAGACAGACCTCCTACTGGTGAGTAGGTAGGAGGTATTTCCATGCTGAAATGCTCCTGCCAAGAATGACAGGCAAAAGAATATCACTGCTGACCTTCTGCAAAGAAAGAGAGAGGGGTCAGGAGGTAGTTTGGTATCTGCCATGCCTTTTCCCCATCAGTGGGCTCAAAGCTGAGTTCTGCAATCACCCACTGATAGGAGTACTTTCCACTGAAATGGGTGGGTAATTATGCATCCACAAAGGTTCCTTGCAGGGGTGAAGCTCAAAGGATGGGGCTGTTGATTCTGCAGTTGCAAGGAAAGGATACTGATTCAAGGCCCTGAGTGAGCTGCTTTTGACCCTGTAGGGGGGCTGAACTGGAGACATCTAGAGGTCTCCTTCCCACCTCAGCTATGCTATGATCCAGAAAGTCTTTTCCATTTCTAATTCCTAGGTTCATAGGTTATGTTACAGAGAAAAGACTGAGAAGTCGTGATTCTGGTTTACACCTTTGCAGAGGAGAAAAAACAGTGAGTTCAAAGACATTGTAGTAGGATCAAGCACTCTAAGAAAAGAATGTGACCTCATGGTGGCCTACCGAATTTGCTCTAGTTCAGCTTAGAAACTTTGTCTATTTTCACCCAGTTACTTCAAGTGCAAAATTTTCCTGTTAAGAATGGGTGTTAGCAGGTTGAAGAGCTGTAGACTGATAAATGCAGATCTCCTCAGTCAACCCTGACGAGAGGCACTTATATGTCACGTGGGCTGCCAACAGGACAATCTATCAACTCTGTAGGTGTCCAGACCATAACTGAGGTAAGCTGGCAGATGACAGGCAATTATTCATAAGCTGTGAATAACAAGATATGTGACACACAGCTAATATCAGATTAGCTGTCTTTTCCTTATTGACGCTGTAAAAAAATTGATTTAAAGGTGAACTGAGGTAAACTGGAAAGTTTTAGGTCATCAGATTTTTTTAGGGTTTAACAACTGTGTACATAATTACTGGGAGAGAAGATCATACAGTTAACATGAATTTAGCTTGAAATAATGTTTTTGATAACTGTTTGTGCTTTTTTATGTCAAGGCCTACATTTAGGGTCCTGTTCCCTGAGTAAGATAAATGTCTCACAAACAACTTGAAACAGAGCGTTTTGATGAATTCTTCTTCTGACATCATTGCTATAGAGTATGGGTATGCTGCTTTCTTCTGACTAACTCAGTGACAGCAAGGTCTACTGTTTCTATGTCAGTCCTCATGCTCTTGGTATGTTTGGTGCCATCCCATCATTCTCCTTTCTTCTTCTGGTTTCTGTCCTGTACTTCCTCTCTCCTCAGCTTATTTTCTTTCATCTGGTCATGTTCATGCCTTTTCCATAAACTTCATGTGCTTTACTTATTTTTCTCCTCTCCTTAAACACAAGCTCTCCTTCACCAGGGCCAATTCTGTAAATATCTGAGTCTTGCTGAATCACTCATTAGTACCATCCCCACAGACTTCTCTTGAACAACCGTTTCCAATAGCACGTCAGCACATGATGACTGCCAAAGAAGGCGCTCAAAGGGAAACAAACTGCCACTCAACATGCCCAGCATGACACCAAACACATGTGATGTCATTCCACAACCACAGGACTTGCTGATATTTTGTTTTGATTTTCCCCAGCCACTGGTACTGGACTAACAACTTCATGAAGAACGGTTATTTAATGGCAAGCCAGAGAGTCTGAGCTAGTAGCTTTAGATAGCTGTGATTTGATTTCACCCTGACCAGCCTGAGAGTCAGTGTCAAAGGACCTGACATGACACAGGCACAGACAAAGAGAAGACATAAGACAGTGATTTCCTAAAAGGAATTGAGCTTTTACAATAAGCTTAGGGACCAAAAGGTGAACAGCAAAGGTTAAAGAGACCATGTGGAAAGACACTGCCTGCTTCTTCTCCAGGATAAGAGGGAAAAAATTTGTATTCTTTCCTCTAGCTTGGAGTACAACAGAGCTCTCTCCTGTCTTATTTGGTAGAAGAATCATATAATGAATCAAAATATGGAGCTTGATTTTGGCTATAAAGTAGTAATCCAGATGTATATTCCCTTTCTAGCCCTCAGCCAACAGTCACTTGAGCACTATCATGCACTATACATGGTAAAGTATTTAACCTATGCCTTTTCAACAACATATAGTACAGCAGCTAAGAAGAGAAGATCTAGATCAAGTGGAGTGAGACAGACATGGTTCTGTAATGGCTTCTTCTCTAAAAAAAGGAATGAACAGAGCCTGCCATGCTAAGTTTCCCAAGAAAAAAGACACTGTCATCAGTATTACCTGCTTGAACTAAAATTCAGAGGAAATAAAATTGCAATCTCAGCACATTCCTGTCTGTGACTTTTTGTAATGGAGAGGTGCCAGAGAGCCCAATGAGCTCCAAAGAGAGCAGGTACTAGCACATAAATGTACCATCTTTCCATTGACTTCCTGTCAGGA